ACCCAGCACACGGGGGGGTTCTGGGCTCAATGGCTGCATCATGGGGAACTTCTGCTCAACCAACACCCTAAGTCCTTCTCCTCAGGGCTGCATCCTGAGGATGGAGAGGGTGCACACATGCACCCATCTGCAGCCTGTGCTGTACTGCTTTTCACAGAACCATAGAACGCTTTGGGTTGGAAAGGACCTTAAAGTTATGTAGTTTCAAGCCACAAATGGGCTCTTGTAACAGTTGGAGCCCTGATCTGGGGCTTACAGTAGAGGGCAAAGTCCTCTTTGGTGGTGCCAAGAGAGAACATTCAGGAAGAGCAGCTGCCTTTCTTGGAGTGTCACTTCCATCACCACCTCATTCCGGCAAGAATTCCCCTGGGATTCTGTTTATTGTCTGCAACTGATGATTTCTCAGCCTGTAGCATGGTGGGACAGGACCAGCCATGGTCCTGCAGCCCCGAGGGGCAGCTTTGTGGGCTGGCTGCAGCTTGGAGCTGGCAACAGTGGCAGAGAAGGCTTTAGATCCGAGATGGGAGGTTTGGAGAGAAGCATCCAGCTCCCTCCATCACTGCTCTCTGTGGGGCTGGTGTGAGGGGCTGTGACTCGGGGGTTGAGTTTGTTTGAGACCCCTGGAATGGGGTTTAGGGGGGGGGGTGCAGTTGGGCACAGCCATGGGCTGTCATCATGAGCTGGGGCCCACAGGGGCTTGGAGCTCTCCCAAAGAGCTGTAACGTGGTGACCAAACCATTCCTGGGCTGTGGTGCTGAGATGGGATCTGTGGGGTCTCCAGCACCCCTGAGTCCACTTCCCAGCTGTACCCTGTGCTTTTAGGGGGTGTTTCCTTTTGGATCTGAAAAGTGCTTTTAAAGTTACCTTGTTTATAGACTTGGAGCAAAGTCTGGCACCTCGGTTTTGCCCTCTCCCATAACTAATACTGTGCAGCAGCCTTTGGGAAAGTCTAAAAGCTTGGGAATACCAAAACCACTGCCCCTTGGTTGAGGCAAGGCACTTGCTCTGGCAGTGCGGGGTGAGGACATGCCTGCACTGGGGCCGGCCATGTCCTCTCCACAGCCCCCATTTGGCACAACCCCTTCCAGCAGGGTTGTGCTGCGTTGACTGCGGAAGGATGCAGCAACTGGGACAGTGTTTTCACAGCACACCTGGGGGGGGCTTGTGGAGACCCATCTGAAATGTCTCATACTCGGGTGGATCATAGAATCCCAGCCTGGTTTGGGTTGGAAGGGACCTTAAAGCTCCTCCAGCTCCAACCCCTGCCCCGGGCAGGGACACCTTCCACTAGAGCAGGTTGCTCCAAGCCC